CCCCCCCCGGCCCATAACAGCCCTGGCTGCAGCACATGGAGAGCCAAACAGCAGCAACCAGCTCCTGCACTCCCTCCTGGAGGAGTGGAATTGCAAACATCTACCCTTCAAAGCTTCAGCACACGCCACTTCAGTCAACAACAGGGGAGCAGAAAAACAAAGCTTCATGGAGGCCTTTTTAAGAGAATTTTATTTGAGTGGTTCTTACAAAGATTGTTGCAATATGAAAGTCTTTGATAGAAATATCAAGCTGTCTTGTCAAACACACTGAAGTAACCCAAAAATATATTTCAGAGCTCACAGAGCTTAAAAAGAGCAAAGATTATATGCAACCAGAACAAAACATGTTTCTGTATTTCCTACCCATTTTCAGACTCGGCTGAAATCCTTCACCTGTGCCACACTGCATACATAGAGACCTATCTGGAAATGCAGAGATCGTTTTGTTTGGAAACTTAGACACACCTCACACAGTATTTACAAAGAAACTTTTACAGATACATTAATCAAAAGTTACCATCAAGAAATAAAACCCTTCAGTCCTTCTATTCTTACCAATTTTTCAGCACAAAGCAAGCTGAGTGTCTGTCTAGAGTCAGCTTTCAGTAGCCTTTTGAATTTTCCATTTATACAAAACACTAAATATGTCCCTTCATAAAGTCTATCTCCGATATTAACCTTTAGCAGATCACCTACATTTAGTGAAATGTAAAATGTAATCGCTGCATTAAAAGAAAGGCTTGTGAAACATTAAAAATGTCATTATGTCCCATCTGCCTTTTACAGAGAACTTGTTTTCTATGAGCTACATCTCAGTTCCTACAGATCACCTTAGTAAATGTACAAGAATTACAAGGCAGAACAAGTCAACAGCTTTGTATACAGTGGAAATGCTAGTTAGGGAGAATGAACACACTGCATTTCTGCTTACTTCATTTTATTTTTAAAGGTAGCAGGAAGTGTACACAAAATGACATTAAATCCTTTCCTTTAGTTTTATCTAAATAAAAGATAACTCAATCTTCCTCCAAAAAATAACTATGTACAAAACTGACTAAATCCATCTTCATCGTCGAACAGGAACCAGTAGTTGGGTTGCAGTCATGGAATCTGGGAAAAGGCTGTGGTATGTTGGAAGAGGTACATACGCTGCTGTAATCATTTTACCTAATCAGAAGATTTAAAAAAATAATAATTAAAAAAAACCCAAACAGGATTTGTGTAATTAATGAATAAATTATGTCTCTACCTGAAATGCACTCACCTGCAAACCACCTCCCATGCAATGCATTTACAGCTGCGATGGCAGCAGCAATTGAAGGACATTTGACGTACACGTTGCCCTGTAATACACAAGTGTTACAGTCCGTTAGGAGAGCGAGAAACCTCCCTCATCGTCCCATCAACAGCCACTTCCTTGGCGTGGCTGATGGAGACAAACCTGCCTCGCTGTGTTCCCACTGACACCGCCCAGTAACGCAGAACGCACGAGAAGATGGAGCAGTGGGCAGTTTTTTAGTGACGAGCGTTACCACCCTGTGCCAGTTATCTCAGCACAAAACTTCTCTAAACAGGATTTTGCAAAACAGACCAAACGTGAGCTTGGTCTGAAATCAACAAGTATTGGATTGCTCACTTGCTTGTGGCAACTCTTCAAAGAGAGTATCCAATGGCTCCTGACTACAAATCTCAGGCGGAACAGAAAAGCACCAGGAGTTTGGCTGCCTCTACTGCAGGCTGGCCATCGAGTTCTGCAAATCATCCATTTAACCACAAATACTCAACGAGATATTCAAGTTCCCAGTCTGGGTTTGAAGGGGATTAAGCACTCTCCATTCCTCGGGGTAGGAAGGATGCCAGCACTTCACATGAACTTCAGCATCTGTCTGTCTTTAATTAAACATGGACCGAGACTGAAGAGAAAAAACCCATCGCAACAGGGCCAGGAGAGCCCAAGATGGGATCTAATGAGAGTGACAGACTCATCTTTTAACTCTGCCAGATGTACTGGAAGTTTTCTATCTGCCAATTAAGCACTAATCCAGCCCAACCCAGAGTACTGCAATATTCACACTCAACAGCTGCAAGACATACAGATGCCCACAGTAATGTGGGCACGTTTTTGTGGTTGTCTGCATAAAAACAGAACACTCGCAGTAATTCCTGAACCAGATCAGATTCTAGCTGAAACAGATTTTACAGGAAAAGAATATATAAAGAAACAGAGTGCAGTCTTCCCCTTAGCAGCCTTTGCCAGCCTGTACTAACTCTTCCCACTGTGAACTAATTCCTTCTCAGCAGGGAAACTTGAGATCAGGGCTGATGTTTAAGGCACTAAGCAATTAACACAGGTCTGTTCTCAGCCTCCCCGGCAAAGGCACCCAAGCTGCTTAAATCTTGAAATGAGATGCAGCAACACGAAGCTTTAGTTTTCCTCAACACACCACAGTGTAGACAGGTGCAGTACACGAGAGCACGTGTTCAGGTTCCCCTCTACTCCTCTCCCGTAAGGCCCCACATGGAGCAAGTACTGTGTCCAGTCCTGGGGCCACCAACAGCAGAAGGACATGGAGCGGTTAGAATGAGTCCAGAGGAGGCCACAAGGATGATGCGAGGGCTGGAGCAGCTCTGCTGTGAGGACAGGCTGAGAGAGTTGGGGCTGTTCAGCCTGGAGAAGAGAAGGCTCCAGGGAGACCTTCCAGTGGCCTCCCAGTACCTGAAGGGGCTCCAGGAAGGCTGGGGAGGGACTTTTTATAAGGGCAGTTAATGACAAAACAAGGGGAAATGGCTTGAAAGTGGCAGAGGGGAGATGGAGATGAGATGTGAGGAAGAAATTCTTTGCTGTCCCAGGTTGGCCAGAGAAGCTGTGGCTGCTCCTCCCTGGAAGTGCTGAAGGCCAGGCTGGATGAGGCTTTGAGCAACCTGGTCTAGTGGAAGGTGTCCCTGCTGCTGGCAGGGGGGTTGGGACTGGATGAGCTTTAAGGTCCCTTCCAACCCAGACCAGTCCGTGATTCTCTGATTCAGATGGGACTGCAATCTTCTCACCCACAACAAATCACATCTTCACGGCTGATTACTGACAGCCCTTAGCCTGGGAAGTCTGGCTGTCTGGGAAAGAGCCTTAAAAAGATGGGGGATGAAAACACTTAAAAGACAGCGTGACCAGAATCTCAGCCTGGAAAACAGAACAGCACAGTGGAAACTTATGTTTGAATACAGTATTTTTAAATAACAGTGGGTATTTCATATCTGGGTCATCGCTGTGCCATGTGACAAATGGATTTCACATATCACACAGCTATACAGCTGACAGACTGTGACGTCGTAGCTGTAGGTTTTCTTTTAAATCCACTCACCAACGTGAACCAGAACCAATGTGAGGCACTGCAGGATGCTGAGGGCTGTTGTGATTTTTTGGGGGGTTTGTGTGTTGGTTTTTTCAGTTGTTCAGGGAGGGTTTTTGCCACCTGTCAAAGGACACTTTTGTTTTCTCCAAGACAGTAAAGACTAATGTAGTGCGGGAAAGGTTTCTACCTCCCATCAGCCCAGCAGTCCAACACAGCACTGATCATGAAGATTAAAAACTGCTCAGGAAGTTTGTATGTTGTTTTATGTACTGGACTGCAGCTCCTCTATTATCTGACATCTCAGTAATCCACATGAAAGGTTTCAGGTGGCAGGAGTCTTCTGGAGAAGCAGCACAACATTAACAAAGATTTGTGAGTGCCAAGTGCACTACCAGGGCAGAACAATCCCATTTAAGCAACTGTCAGGGGCAGGAGTGTAGATTTCAGGCTCGCACAATAGAATGAAACACAACAGGACACTTACAGGGTCTGATGGTTAGAAATTAATCTGACTATGAGAGCATTTGAAAACTGTACTTCAATTTGGGCTGTGAATTCTAGATAAAAGGGGTTCAAGAAAGTCACATCATCTCTTTACAGATATTCCACAGGTTATGTTCTAAGAGCTGAAATACAGGGGAAGAGAGAACGAGTCTGGAGATTCTGTAAACCAAGCGAACACAGAAGAAAAATGTATTATATCAGCTTTTTCAAGATGCAGGCTGAGAGCCCCTCAAACAGGCATTAACCAGTGAGTCTGCACCAGCAGCCCTTTTTTCTTGTTACTCTAGGAGCTCCTACTGCCCACAGCAAGACCTGCACATCACTCCTGAACACAACTGTTTCCAACACAGGATTAGGCACACATTTAACAGCACATCTCAAGTCTGCTGGAGCAGGGTGATCCTTGTGCTAAAGCCTCTCTTCCCTAGAAACAGAGGAAACTGGACAGCCCTGGCTTTTTGGGAAAATGCACAGCTTAAGGGAAAAGCCAAATGCCAGAATTAAAGAGGTCACTACTCTTCAGCCTGTATTTCCACAGTAACTCCAGCTGTGTGAATCTGTAAGAGCAGACTGCAGCACCAGAGAACTGCTCTCACACCTGCATTTGATTTACAAACAGTGACTCAAAACAGGAGGGAACCACCTACAATTCTGCAAAAACTGCAAAGTAACTTCAGGAAGTTTAGATTCCATTTAGGGGGAAAAAAAAAAGTATTTGTAATGCTCCCTCAAAGCAACAAAAATCCCCAAACTCCTCAGTGTCTCCTGGGAACCAGGCATACCTGAGCTGAGTTTTTGTCTACATAGATGTGGATAACTCCTCCGTGTTTGTTACATTCCTCGATCACATCATCTTTAATTTCTGTATCCCAGCCAGCTTCTTCTTCACTGTAGGGGGTAGAGGAACAGGATAGAGACGGAATTATCACTTAAGACAAAATCTGCTGCAAAACCCCTCAAAAAAACCTCTGCAACATTCAGATTCCTTTCTCAGATGTTAAAGTCATCAACAAACGCCAAACAGTAACAGACAGAGATAAATCACTTACGTTTGAGGATTAAACATGTTGGAAAGCTGGAAGCACTGTGTTGCAAGTGGCTGTACAGAAGCAGCTGCAGCCAGAACTGTTGTAATGGAAAAAAAAAACCCCAGTAAGAAATCTAAGAACCCGCTGCATGTGGATCCAATTTAAATTAGTATCTTCTATATATTCTTTAAAATCCCAAAATTCAGCCATAATAGCAACAGTTCTAACTAATCAGAAAACTGAAGGCAGAAAAGCAAAACTTGTAACTAGACACTATTTACAATATAGACATTTTTCATTGATGAATACAGAAAATAGCACAGATAACATAGCTACAGTTTAAACTGAAAAGATAATCCTGTACATTGATATTGGTACATTTTCAGTTTAAACATTTAAATGCAGACACATGCACCTTCACATGCATCTAAAAATTCTCCAAGTTGTATGCCAGCAGCACCTTTAATTATTTTCTCCTCATGGAAGCCAAGCAGCAGCTCAGGAGTGAGTGGCACCACTCCATCCAACTTCACAGAAGTGATAGACATCTTTGAGAATTCTCAAAATGTATTTTAAGGACATTGAACTATCCTTCAAAAAAGCATATCCATACTTTTGTCTATTTGAGAATTAAAATTATACACACTGTAACTGCAGAATAGATCTATACTCTTAATGAAATTATTACTTGTCATTTACTGCTGCACATCATCACAGTACATCTTTTTAATTAAAGATAAGCACTGGCCTACAGGCTACAAGCTTCTGTTAATTTAGCTGAAGTAACAGCCACCCTCTCTCTACATAGGTAGACGTGAAGGGCTGCGCAGCCAGAGTAAGATGGTAACGAATCCAGGGACAGTAACCCCAACCTCCTGATTCCCAAATGACCCCTCTAGTCCCTACCTGTAAGGCAAGAAAAAACCCCACACCCAACCACACCTAAACCCACAAACAAAACCACAAACCCACAGGCTTTCTAGGACTAACATATAGCTGGGGAACGTTACCAACACTGAGGAAACGCTACAAAGAAAAGGCAAAATATTTAACATCCATTCTGTTATTTTCAGTCAATAATCAACACACAGTATGATTCCTCCAGACACCAACACAGGCTGCTGGCAAACTCTACATCAGAAGCATTTCACTTACATCTGTAACAAAACCTATTGGTGACAAGTTACATATCAAATGCTACTTTACCTTCATTCTGCTGAGATAGTCTCGTTTGCAAATCTAAAGAAAAATATACAGAAGTTAATCAGTACACTTGCCAGCATTATTGTATCATTACCTGCCAGGTTGTTTAGCTTGTATTTTTGTGGTTAAGAGCTTGTTCAAGTACCTCAACCCACTCTCACTGTTCCTCTCTAGTTGTGAGTAATTTCACTAATTTCAGCTTCTTAGCTGGAATATTCTGTACTTGATGGAGATCCCATGACCACAAAGGTAAGCATATTTCAAAGAGAAACAATACCTTCAAAGGAAGACATGATCACGTCCTTTAATTCAATGTATCGTTTCCACCCTGCCTTTGCTGTGCTCGAACTCCTTATAAGACTTAACTTTGTCCCATGAGAAAAAACCTACAGCAATTCTTACAGGCATTAGAAGTTTGGCATGTTTACTAACAGAAAGGATTTAAACTCACAGTTACCCAAACGTGACATTCTAAAAACAGTTACCTACTTTAATTTCAAGTAGAATAAGGTGATACTTCAGCTGTTATCTTTTCATATAAATTTCATAGCAACACAAGTTAATTTGGTATTTTTCAAATTCAAAACATTTTCAAGTGTTCAGAACATTTAATTTGCCAATAAAACACTAAATACTTGTTTAATAACATAGAGCTGCCCTGATTTGAAGGCAAGGGAACACAGACTTTCTAACCATTTCCAGCTACACAACTCCAATACCTGACATCTTTAAATCAACAGAAAACTTCAGAATGCAAGAAATATTAGCATAAGCCTCTTCACTTATGTTCCAACTGAATTCACAGGAACACAAGGAGTTAGAAGACTAAATTTAACCATCATCTTAATTCACTTGTTCAGAAAGCAGTGAAGTGATGGACCCCACAGAAGCTTCCAAGCTTACGTGGAAATACCTGGAGGTACCAGGTAGCAACATACCTTTTCCCTTTTTAATAAACTCTCTTCCACAACACTGGGGGACCAGCAGGAGTGATTTTTTTTTTGCTCTAAGTATTAGGCAGTGAGAGCCCTGAAGGCAAGTTTCCTCAAGTGTCTTCCATAGAAGAACCATATTGAAAAATGGGTGATGTGTGGAGCAAGCTCCCAAGGCTGAGCTGTAACACCAGCTGGCTGCATTTAGCATGTTTTTCATCTGGATCTGAACACGAAAGAAATCCTCAGCTCCACAGAGTGAGAAACACCACACTGGGGAAGACTCTCTTAGCCTGTATTCTCTGCAGAAACTGCATGGATTTGGCCAAATCTGTAACTCATTACCCAGTCAATTACTACTCTAATGTTTTTGTTAAAAAATGTGTTTTAAAAAAAGAATCAAACCCCAAATCTCCTGAACCACTCTAGTCAGACAAGGACAGAGACTTTTCCCTCTGCAATTCTGACACAATTGCACATAGGCATCATGTACAGCTGAACTCACCACATGGCAGCCAGCCTGGGGCTCTGCAGCTGAATGCTCCAGACCACCTGCAGTAGATCTACACAGATCACCAGTTCAAACTCTGTCTAGGGCCAAAAGTCAAATCTGCTCTAAACACAGAGATCAGCAGTCTCTTGTGGCAACAAGTTTCACAGGTTAATTATCTACCACCTCTGAAACATAATCCCCTGTCCACCAAATCTTTCATCAGCTAACTGCATTTTCTTGTTGCTCATGACTGAACAGTCCTCTCCTCTCACTTCTAAATTCACTCAAAAGTTAGAAATTCATCATCGCTCTTCTCTGTCAACTCTTATTCTTCCCTATTTTAAATAGCATGTGGAAACTAAAATGAATACATCTGACAAGATCAAAGTAACTTTTTCAGTATGCTCTGTATATATAATCTGTAAGAGTAGCGAGTTTAGCATGACTAAGTCCATGCTTGATACAGAGAAAGCAGAAATACAGAATTATCTACCAAAGCACTGCAGGGCTTAAAATGAAGTTGCATGTTTACTTCAAAGCACAGCTAGCATTAAATAAAAAAGCCTGCCAAGTATTCCCCAGTTTTTTAAGTAGTTACTCACAACAGAACAGCAGATCAAACAGAGGTCCTGGATGATAATATCTATTTGCCCCTCTACTGCAGCACATTATCTCAATCTTTTTCATAAACAGATAGTTCCTTCCCAAAAGAAAGAAATGTTTGGTCCCACAAAGCATTAGAACAATGTTCTATAGCCTCATGGTTATTTTAAGTTTCAGATTTTCAGACAATATACTACAGAACACAAAGTACAGCTACAACTGTTTAGCTTCAATTCTTTTTCCTGCTGGAATTTTCTCCACATGAATAAATGTCCAGGTTCTCAGGTCTCCTGTAAAACTAAGTCTTCAGCTTCCTTATTTTAGTTTGATTCAACCCATCTTGTACATGGGTGACCAGAACTGTTCATGAATGTGTACGTTACATCTGCGATGCTCAAGTACACTGCCTCGAGGAACGCACTTACCCTTTTGGAAAGGCACCACGCTGACAGCTGATACTCACTGATAGACTGGAGTATTTAGGTATTTCCCTCCTCCTCGGCCATCTTTCACTGCTAAGCTCCCAGGCTATATAACTCGAGTTTGCTTCAATGCTGAATAGGTGAACAATGTACAACACCCCAAGGATTCCTTACTGACAGCACCTCTGTATTTACTCACCTCATTCCTACTCTTGTTGACCATTGTTATTGAGGTAAATATTAAACAAGATCAGCCCAACACCTGAACTCTGGTTTCAACAACAGCATCTAACCTTGCCAGCTTCACCTGAAAAAAACCCCCTCTTTCTTTGAGGCAGCTTCTTACACATCTTGTACAACTTGTACTACTCACTTCTCCAGCTTATTGACTTCCAAATGACACAAGTCAAAAGTTGAAAGAGAGGAGTTCTGCTGCTTCTCCTCTGTCTAGGAAAGTCAGTTTTGTCAAAGATTAAGTCTTTAGCTGCAGTTTCTCTGGGACTATGCTATAATATAATAGCACTCTCCAGTTTACCCATCTTTAGTATGACTGCTGATGGAGAGAAGTGAAGTCAGAGTAACAGACTGTAAACTGGACAGATTACGTTCCTCCTCCTTCCTTTTAAGTGTAGGTAATTTAGAATTAGATGTTCCAGCTATGTATTGTATCACAGACTTAAAATATTTATTGGCAATACCAGACCTCATATGTCATGTAACTATTCCCCCACTTATTTCGATGGGAGTTTTCTTACGACTCTCCACTGAGCATGTTCAGCTCTTACTTTTATCTTTGCTTCTACCTTGTGAATAATTTTTTTTTTTAATCCATATGCCCATCTTACCTTCCCCAAACTCGATGACCAGTGTTCCCCACTACAAGCTGAGGCAATGAGATTCTTCTGAAACATCTTGAGGAGTATTTTTTCATTAAACCTCAGCCCCACTTCCTTTTTGTTTTCTTTGAAAGTTGGTACATCTTCATCTATGCATTCATGCCTTTCACAAGGTCTAACTCAATCTCACTGCAATTCTAATTTTATTTATTTCCTAAACTAAAAACATTGTTATCAATCCTTTTTCCTGTTCTTCATAGCCTCTGTGCTTATTTCTTATTTCTTTTGGGGTAGTTAATCACCCAGTTCGGTGTGGAGCCCATTTTTAACAGGACTGTTTTTTTCTTTCTGATGCAATATAGCATTAGCAATTTGGAACTGAGGAACTTTTAACATCCTGACTGTTCAAACACCCAAGCTGCTTAGACCAGATGACTTTATTGCCTTGTTTCTTTGACCAGCACTTTAGAAATCAGAAGCCTTAGTTACAGACCTGTTTTGTTTATCCTTCCATTTAAACTTGAGCAACTCATGATCCCTCAAGTCAATGGTAATTTCTATTCTCATCCATAACATCTTCATTACTTACCAAATTGAGTTTAAAATAGCATCCCCTCTTCATGAGTCAGTGAGTGTTTGATGAAGAAATTTGTCGGATATCACATCCAGGAATATCTGGGCCCCACCATTATTACTAGTAATTCTTCTCCAATCTGTATCAGGGAAGTTAAAGTCTCCCATAATGACACAATTCCTGGTAGTAATTTTCTCTAACAAGAGTAAAGAGATCTTTAATCCATAACCAAATCTCACTTTGGGGATAGCTCATGACTTTATCGTAGTAAAAAAACTTTATCTTTTCCAAAGTTACTTAAGTTGCATGTCTGCATTATTCCTTTTGTACAGTACAAGTGGAATAAACAATGCTTCTCCTGCTGCTTTTATTTCTGCAGTTACTAAACATGCACATTCTTCAAAGACCTGCATTCAGCCTTAGCATTTATTCCTCCACAGCCACGTTGTCTCATACTGATTCCACGCTATCCGAACAGTTCAGCTGTGTCAGACTTTTTTGGCCATGTTCCCAATTTGGGGAGTTTGGATTTGTTCAGCTTGTTTGTTTCAAATATGGGGGTGGGGAAAGGACTGGTGGTTTTAAAAACTATTTCTCTCATTTTTCATTGACTAGACCTGTTTCCAAGCAAGACTGTCACACCACTTTATCAACCACATTAAAGGTGATCTAATTTTAGTGTTGTTTACCTTTCCTTCTCTTTCTGGACTAGATATGCTTTTTCCTTGCCACTGTGTCTTTTTCATCTTTTTTCTTCTTAAGTAGAAAAAAACCATATTATTCCTCAACCCATTATTTTTTTTCTTTTCCTTCCAAGGGTGTATCTATAGAAAGACTCTGATATTCTTTTAGCAACTGTCTACAGTTTCATATGTATGCTCTTCTCAGAGAAGTGCATCTGCACTCAGTAACATGATTCAGGTGCATTTTAAGTCTGAATCACATCTGTCACAAACTCTGCTGGAAGACAAACAAAACAATGCCACCTATTTTTTGTTGGTTTCCTGACACTTCTCGCACATTCCAGCATCTAGTTATTTGTGACATTCAAGTCTTTTCTACTGCTATGACAGTTTCACATCCTTTGGTTTTGTATTAATAAAAAATAACAAGAAGAAATTCCACTCTAAGTTCCTAATCTTCTGCGAGAGGTTCCTCATTGCTCTAGTTCTGAAGATCTCTTGAACAGATTGTTTAGGCCAGTTATGAACTAGCAGCAGCAATCACATCCTCAATGTCACTCCCTCTCGCAACAAAATAGTCTCAGCAACACTCCCAACATACCCACTTGCAGAAGACACAAGGAATAGCCAGTTCCAAGCAACACACAAATCCCTTGCTGCAGTGTCCTTCCTCACCAGAACAGGACATTCACTGTACAAACCCAGTGCTACTGTAGTCTTAGTTGCCGTGTCCCCCATGAAGTCCTTCCTAATAACCTTCTTGCCCCTAGTACAGCTGTTTTTTCAAAAGGGTCAAACCCCTTAAAATTGTGAGCCTGTCATTTTTAACAGTCAACATTTACACTGCAGTAGAACATAGAAGTTCCCATTAATACAGGGAATAGTAAAGAGAAAAAGCTGAAGGCTTGGGATGAATTAAGTGAACTATAACACATTTGCTGAAACCAAGGCAAAGTGAATCATGCCCATCAAAGCTGTCATATACTGTCACTGTTTATTTGCTCATGGGTTTGCAACACTTCACAGTTTGTATAACATGCTGTAATACCTATGTTCTCATTTTAAAAGATCACAAAATGTAGTTAAGTACCTCGTGTCTCGAAACCATAATTTGAAAGATAAACAGGTCATCATTCCTTACCTGCCACAGCTCCAAAGGCCAAAGACCCGCTCATCTGCAGCGCCTGCTGTGCAGCTGGAGGAATCTGCAAACCAGTACCTAGCACAGAACACGAACACACGCTGTAGCAAGCACTTTTCACTCAGTCAGGGATGCAGTAACAGGAGTAGCAGAAAACTTTACTGTTGTCAAAAGCTCAAAAATACCACTACATGCATTAGCATAATATTCTGTGGGGTATTATTTCAAATACTGCAGGCTTCTGTATTTTCACACACTTGCTATTAATCATCACACATACCTTCTGCAAGTCTTGCCATCAACTGAAGGCGACCAGTTGTTCCCAAGTCAATTCCAGTTCGCTCCAACTCATCACTGTCCAAAAAGGAACTAGCACTGGAAGCATCAGTACGCTCGGTTACGTGTCCCACTTTCATTGGCCTACCAGCCAGTTCAAATCCGTTGAGTTGTTCCAAGGCCTTTTTGGCACACTCAGAGTCTGAGAACTGTGGATTGGAAAAATATAAATTCACTAACACTGCCCACATCATCCAGCAACGTTTGCACTCCGTGTAATACCTACAGTTATGTAAACACAAGAAACACTACATTTAAGGTAACAATAGCTACAAGCCAACTTCAACGTGCTTTGTATTTCCCATTTAAACTGAGCACACACAAGATTGGGTATTTACTTTCTCCTGTTTGGGTAAGAATATATTTATGTATCACTGTTGAAGCTAGAGCATATATAGACACTGCAATCAGGTAAGTCATGGCTGCGGTTATCTTTCAACACCTTCCAAGAATGACAGTCACTTCCTTTGTAACCTTCTAACTGCCATGCATTTACTGGCTATTCCCAACGGATATTCTGCTCTGTGCTGTGTAACATCAAATTAAACATGAAATTTCTGTCAGTGTTAAAACCATCAAATATTCTCTCCCCACCCCCAATATGACAAACTGCCAGGTCAGTCAAGAAACCCAAGTTCACAAAATTATAGATGTGAGGGTAAAGAGGAAAGATGTTTTCAACTAGAAGTTTTAGAGGAAAATACATTTTAGATGCTAAAAAGATCAAATTCAATAACTTTCCCAGCACTGTGAAAACGCCAGCCTTCACTAGCATCTTTGCCTGCAGAGGACAGCACTGCTTTACCAGGCACTGACCACAAACAGTGGTCATACGCACTGTTCAACCACAAAGAACTGGTAGAAACAAAGGTCATTGTTCACGTCTTGCAACATCACATTTCTAAGATGAGACTTAACAGAGACTGCTGAGTAAGCTATATTACTACAAGGGAAGGTTACACTCAGAAATGATCTAAGAAGTCTGGCAATTCTGGTCATACCGTAATAAATCCATATCCTTTTGAGCGCCCAGTCTCACTGTCCATCATCAGCTGAATGCTTTCAATCTAAAAATAAGAATAAAGCTGTTTATTATCAGACATTTTGGAACAAACCACAAGATACCAAAACAAAACCTGAATACAGCCCTGTGAAATATACATATATGAATGTGAAACCACTTTTTTTTTTTAATCAGGTCCTCATTCCTTCCTCAAGTCAAAATCAGTGTACAGGCAGCTAGATACAGAGTTTTAAACTAAACCAGAAGCAGGCAAACATATGGGGGATGTACAATTTCTCCTCTGAGTCCAGCTACAGGCAGAGACTTGGTCCTGATGCAACATTCTAGCAGACAATGAACGTGCAGACATCATCAAATCCTAAATGAAACATTTAGTCATGGCATCTCATACACCGAGAAACTCCATTTTACAAGGTAATAGAATGACTTTGCATGACTTTGACCAGCAGTTTTAAAAAAAAAGGGTGCATATTTTAAATAATTGTTGGCATATCAGATCTGAATTTAAAACATATTAGTAAGTCATCCATGAGCCATAAAACAGTGTTGGGAAGTGACAGCAACAGAAATAAGAGGAAGAATTGAGTTTAAGACTGGAGTATATGGAATCAGGAGAAGGAAAAACCTTCACAGCTCCACACGTAAGCCTCCCAAACTACATTAATCCTACTGCCAGACCTTGAGAGAAAACAAAACAAGAACAGCCCACATGGATTAACATTTAATAAGTTGCTGCAATTTTCCAGGCTTTTGCACAACAGAATTAAAGGGATACACAGACTGAATCTGAATAAGGCATCTGAAAACCACTGTTAGAGTATGTACGAGGCAGGGTTAACGTCCAAAGATAGTACGAAAGAACATCAATGGACTTGACAAGTTTCTTTTTTCTGCATTAAGCAGCACATGAAATACCTCACTTTTCCCACTATCTCATGATGATATACCCATGGTACCTTAGTTAGCACAGCAGGGCTAACAAATATTCATTATGACTCCACTAGAAACTCCAGATCTGATCTGCTCACTTCCATAACTCTGTCATATCACCACACCACAGACTGGGGCTTAACGATCAGGAGTGACAAGAGGCCTGTGTCAGAGCTGTCAGGGACACGCTGCCAGTTCATGGTAACAACGGGAGCTAAAACTTCAGCAGAGATCCTCAGAAACAAATGAAACTGCTACAGTCACAGACTTGATCTGGGGCTTTTGTGTTTTACCCTGTGAAATGGACCCCCATTCACAATCACATTGCTGGGCAGGGAGGGGGGGATATTTACAAGCTGCAGAAGCAGGACATAACAGGGATTTTTTGTTTGGTTATGGTTCTTTGATTTTTGTTTGTTTGCAGTTTTGTGCGTGTGTTTCTTTTGTTTTGTAATTTTAGGTACTCACTGAATTCTCAGCTTCCCTTCATAAGACCTGCCATTCAAAAATCACTGGACCACATCACAAATCAAGGTTCTCATTTGTTCTCCAATACTAATTATGTATCTAAAGGCTTGTAGATAGCACAGGCACAGAAGAGCAAGAAAAAGAAACAAATGTTTTGCAGGTGTGAAGCTGAATTATTTCCAGAAGCTGTGAGTGCTCAATAAGTAATCTAGGTTTTTCAGATAAACTATCATAACACAACATGTCAAAATAAAATTTACCCTGCCAAATGGCTCAAAAATTCCTCTAAGCATATCTTCAGTTATGTTAAAGTGTAATGATCCCACATAGAGTCTCATAGGACCAGCACTGCCCTTCTGCAGGTTATTTGCCATTGCTGCTGCTCTGTTCTTCTCTGCCTAAGGAAAAAAGAAAAACTCGCCTTCAGTGAGAATTTCATAAAAAATCCTAACATATGCACTATACATCTACCAGATTAAAACTAGATTCACCAAAAAATACAAGCTGTTGTATAATCTGCTCGCTATCCATTAAGACTTTAAAATCTACAAAATCCAAGCCCATGACGAAGTAGAGAGACAGACACAGTTTCCAAAAGGCTTCAAATTGAGCAGCTTCATGTGGAATTCTATCTTGTGTCTAGTAAATGAACAGTTTACTGTTTACATCTGCTGGGAAGCATACATAATATACTACAGTTCTGTAACACTATTACAGCTTCACTATTACTACTTTCTTAACATCTATTTTCAACATGCATTATATCACTTTGAATTGCTTTAATTTGTCTGTCTGGGATACAAATGTCCATATATAATTAGCTTAAATAATAACTCTTGAAAAGGTTTTCCAAATATTCAATGGTAATCAAATCTTCTAACAGCAAGTTTTTCAGCAAGATAAAAGAGGCACCACTCAACATGAATAAACCAGAGGTTTCCAGCTCCTTACCTGCGATGCCTGTACGATGATTGGTACCCCCAAGACTCTCTGTCCAGTCAGTCCTATTGCCAGAGGCACTGAACTAACATCAACAAATTCTACATAAGCAATTCCCTTTGAGCGCCTGGAATTTCTATCGGAAATCATTCGCACATCACGAACCTGAAAGTACAGAAATGCTGTCAGACATCAAGGGAAAAATACCTGAATGCAGTCCACTGCTCAGAAAGGAATTAATAACCAGACAATTCCTTTCCAAGCCAATGGCATTGCAATTATGCCACAAATCTAGAGTAGCACAAAGCTATCTTAACAAACATAACCCTGAGGCAAGCTAGGATTAAAAGCTGCCAAAGTAAAATGTAGCATCCTACAGGAACAGGGGCACCTGCAGAACTGTAACGCTTTAAGCCAGAACCTTACAGCTGATGGAACAAATACAGTTTTTCAAAATTAAAAGTTAAACTAATTTTTAAATTACTCTGTAACTGGCAGGCCTATCTGCAAAAGACTGGAACTTGAGAAAAATTGAGTTGTTGAATCAGAATTGCTGTGCCATGTTTTTCATCACATCAAATGCTGAACAATGAACTCCTGATAAACTACGTTCTCATGTTCAGAGCCTTTAAGAATTAGCTGCTTGTCATTCATTCCCCCTTTCACCTGTACAGGAAGCTCCAGAAAACCACCTGCTTACAATTCTGCAGAATATTAATCCTGTACTAGGACAGCCTGATGAAGTATTCAGAATCATTTTAACCTCCCCATCCATTACCTTCCCTACTGTAGAGAAAAATTCTTCCAGGTCTCTTGGTCGAATTCTTGCAGCCAGCTGCATGCAGAATACTGTTCGAGCATCCCTCTCTTCAGGGGTAAGATTATCAATAGGTTCTCTGGAAAGAGGAAAGTTCAGTTAAAAAATAATCTGAATTAAGGTAACTCATCTCTGGATCATGCAGGAAACTTTAAATAATCAGTACTTTGAAGTCTGATGGGGGAAAAAAGCACCTCCCATATTAAAGCAGATAATTCAGGTCAAGATAATTCAGGTCTTCAGGTCAAGAACTGAAGGGAACATTTAATGTTAATATTATAATAATACAATTACTACTTTAACACAACTAAGTATCCAGTTTCAACTATAAGCATTAAATATCATTGGAAAATTGTAGAGAAGCCCCAGCTAAACAGAGATGCCATTTCACTACTGTCCAGAGCAGGTAACTACCACTAGGCAGCCTGCAGTCAAAAAGATGAGATGGAAGGACAGGAAAACAAAGGAAAACGGGATTAATTAGCACAGTTCAGCTGTCTGAACTCTCAGACAAGTAGTACAACTTCTTTTTTTGGTGGCTTTGGAAACTCTTTAACACCTAATCAGTCACTTCAGAGTCACTACAGCTGCTGTGTAAACGATACTGATATCTACAGAGTTCTCATTTTTCAGTTTCAGCTTGTTAACTCTAAAAAGTATGAATAGTGAGTAATTAATCTCGTCCTTGATACCAGAAGCACAAGATTAATTTTAATTCGATACTGTTCACTACCTGAAATCAGATGCACTACTTTTCAGGTGTTCAAATCTAAAAAACTCCAACTTGTACTTAAGTACAGGACAGAATTAGCATGCTGGATCCTGGACTCAGTTTCCAATCATGTAATAGGTATTTATATTTTTATATATTTTTCTAAAAAAATCACTGAGAATACACAAGAACAATTTAAACTAAATTACCTTAGTAAGGGTTTGCTAATAATTAAAAAAAGCAAGATTGGTTAAATTTAATTGCATTAATTTAGATAATAATCTCATTAGCAGCTATCTAAATCCAATTCCCTTAAATGAGAAGCCTAAGAGTGGATAAACACCTCCTGGATTTCAGAGGCACCTCGCTTCTCTACAAATAACATCAATATATATGGAATAGGGAAAAGAAACATTTGTACAGTACTTTTCCATTCAGTACTTAAGATTATTAAGTAACATTTACCAGAAAAGCTAGCTCATTTAAATGACAATTAACAGGAAAAATGGTAAGAACACAGAAACACAAAAAGCAAAGCAAGACATGTTTTGCAAACAGCCATTATTTACAGTTGCACACTGTTATTGAGGGAGGAGAGGTAATTTATGACATGGGGAGAAAGCAATGTATTTTCAATGCTCTCCTCTCATGGCCTTTCTGAACGAACTCCAGCATTACTTGTGAGTTGAAGCTGGTGAGCAACTAGTCATGCATTATTTCACCTTTACCTCTCCAACTCCAATTAGACAAAAAACCCCCCCACAACCCACAAACCCAAATGTGTGTAAAAATTCCTACCTAACAGGGCTCTTGTCTTTTCTGAAGGGACTTTTGCTTCTGGAGCGTCGTCTGCTATGAAGAGAGATGAATAAGATTACAAGAAAACCTTCAAACATACCAGTCTGATTTTAAAGACTATTAATATCCCAATAAAAAAATAGAGAAAACTCAGAAACCTTAATTTGATGCTGTGAGGCAGACCAATCTTCCCTCTGATGGCACTGTTGAATTTTGGACCAGAACTACGGTAAAAGAAAGACAGACAGACATTACTCACCAGAGTACCTGAACTCAAGAATTCCTGTCTGTACTCACATCACAAGTGCTCACCCACCCTTGCACCTGAACTTCTAAACCTTCTCCATCAGCAGCACCCACAGCATGCATAAGCTACGTGCAGCACTCCAAACCATAAGGCACAGGACACGCTCCCTGCCCAGTTTCATCTGCATTGCAAAATCCCAGCATATGCAGGACTCTGAGGAAGAGCTGACTAATGAGCCAGCAACACACGCACATTTGTAAATATCCTGAGCTACAGTCACTGCTGGGATCTTCTTTACATGTTTTTTTTTTTGTTCACATGCATATTCTATCTACTGATGACAGCAAGACAATAACTTAATGGCCTGGAACTCAGCCTCAAGAGTTTTGAGCAAAGTAGTGCTGGCAGGACTATTTGTTCAAGTGTAACATTTTAAAACTAAAAGTTTCATGAAATTTAAGGTGCAAGTGGAAACCAGTGGCTCCCTGCAGACATCTGCAAGGGATATATATTCACTACTGTTATCTCCCAGCTCTAGCCACTAAAGTGCTACAAATATGTAAATGTGGCTTCATTTAAGTACAGTTCTTAATGGCCATCAACAGAGCCCCATGGAAGCCAGCAGTTAACCTTATATAGACATGTCACCACAGAAGGAATCCAATCTCTTGGCTGAATCTAATTTTAGTTCTCCAGGCTTCACAGAGGCTGTTAGAACAAATGCCAGTGCGTCCATCGCTTCCATGTTAAGGACAGTCCTCTTGCTAGTGGTTGTGGCCCAGGGTAACAGACTGTGACACGAATACTGAGATTCATCCTGTCATGTTCTCCCTGAACTTGATCTCCTTGTAGATACAAGGCAAAGAACAACACCTGTTAACGTTCTTCTGTATATCCACCGAGCGGCAGAGGCACTGCTGCACAGACTGAATGCTAGGGGGTTTGTCTTTCCATCTGCACAGAACTGATTCTTTCTGCTGTGGCTACAAATTGATGTGCAAACACCCTGAAAGACACGGCAGTCTGAAGACATTAAGTTGTCTATCCATTTAGCCAACCAATTTGTCTGATAAACGTCTTCTTGCCACTCAGTGGAGCAGCAATGCTTAGAGTTAAACTTGGCACCCACAACAAGGAGGAGGATGCTCATTTTTAAACGTGTCATGACACAGGTGGAAGTAGTGGGCCAAGATCCAAAACCGTGCTGGCCAGGTTAAAGCAAGGGAAATATGGCCCTGTGTAACACTGGAAAAAAATAAAGAAAAAAGACCATTTAGAAACTACTTATTAAGAGAAAATAACTACTTAAGAGAAAATAAGACATAAAAAACAGGCACATGTTGAGATGAGATCACTATTTATCAAAACCAGACTTTTTTTTTCTTTTTTTTTCCTAAGATAAATTACTCCATTTCCTACTCAGGTTCAGACAAGTGACTGCTGAGCACATCCATTCAGGTTCTCCAATGTCTGTGACACACTCTGCCAGAACCTGCATCTGGAAATGCTGGTACTAACTCGAGCAGCTAGCTTCCTAACAGAGATGGGATTACCTGCATCACCACACCTCCTGATGTAGAACATTGTTCTGCATTTCAATTCAAACGCAGCAAGACCAACCAGTTACAGTGACTCCAGAATATTAACATGCAGACCAACTAAACCATGGCCAATAATCAAGACTGAGTTTTTAAGGAAACAGTGAAAGAAATGTTTTGAGTGTTTGTCTAAACCTAATTAAAAAAACCAAACCAAACCAAACAACCCACTGAGAAGATCCACAGTAACAGTTTCCAAATATATGCACAACTTCTAAGGGGGAGGGGGGGAATCCAAAACCCCCACAACTAAAAAAATAAATAATAATAATAATAAAAACTTTTCAATTTTTACTCTTGACAAATAAGTAGTATCTTATTTACATGACTGTATGGGAGAAATATTTAAAAGCCCCAGTAAGCTACAACCATAACAGACCACTGGACCAGGCTGAGCAGAGAGCTGTCTGGGGCAAGATGACAATGGCCCAAGTTACCTTCTGATCTTTTTTCAACAATATTCTGCAAGATGCATTTCTTTGGGTTTTTCTAAGGAGACCTGCTTGTGAAGTTGTAGACCTCAGGGGAACTTTCTTCTTTCTTCCTACTGCCTAAGAACTCTTTGCAACTGTTGCCCAGCTCCTGCTATCATGTATAGAAGCACCAAGTCACAAGCTATTTATGTCTAGGGTTTACCTTCTTCATAAGCCAAATGCACCGAGCCCTGTGTCAAGCCAAAGCACAGCTCGGTACGTGCTTTCCTAAGTCTGTGTGACGCCACATGACCCAGGAACAATCACCAGCTCAGAAGTCAGCCAGTAAAATATCAGCTTTCACCAGCTTGGTCGTATCCAAGAGTCCAACGAAAGTGTCTCGGACAAGGCAAACTTTGGCTAACAAAGTCCAGGAGAACTATTATGAACTTTCAGTCCTCCCGTAGTAACCCTGTTTTCCCAGCACCTTTGCCCAAATTCTTGGTTCCAGAATAGCAACAGGACAGTCTAAGTGACGTTAGCAGTAGCTGGGATTTGTCAGACAGATGTCTAAGCAAGAATACTTGGACAAGTTCTTTCTCCTAAGAGATGTCATGTAACTGTAACACAGTAAGGGGCCAGATATATAATAACAACATTAAAAAAAACCCTGTCAACACAAAGCAATGCAAGCCAGTCACCCACTTTTTAAAAATTAAGACATTTAATCACTATCTCATGCTTAAAGATGACAAATCCAAAGTCCTCGGGTTCTCTGTGGTACACTCATCTCCTTTTCCTTCAGAATTACCTATACTAGACCTTCTCTTCTCACTACTGCAGAGACCATTCCATATCACCCCTGGCAGCAAAAACATCTCTGTTTAGAGATATTATCTTGAAAATGGGCCTTTATAAAGCAAATGAGAAAGATCACAAGGAGGAAGAAGAGTAAAAAAAAATTATTATTTTTTTAAATTCAGCCGCAAAGCATCTGAACTAGATGTTGTGGTCAGTTACAGCACCGCCCGCGGTGACACCAACTCGGAACTGTCTGAACAGCCCCACAGATCAAAATTCTCCAGTCAGCAAGAGCATTCTGGTAGCTACTTTTGAAACACTGAGCTGATGGCACTGCTACAGAGACTGTTTCTTCATGTGGAAGCACCATTTTTGGTAGATCCAAAGGAGGCTGGTGTCACTGGAAGCTTCATCCCCAGAACTGGAGTCTCCCTGAAAGTCAGCACCTGTTATACAGCTTTTAAAGGTGAGTCTCTGCATTGAAGAGTCCCAAACAAGAAGTTAAAGAGTTCTTCTCCCTCTTATCTTCCAAGGTCCTTCTCTTTCACACCTTCCGAGTCAAATTTCACTTTTGGAATCACATGAGCATATGCATCACTTCAACAGCATCACCCATGACCTACAAGTGAACGACAGTCAACTGCCGGCTCCACAACACTCAGCACCAACGCCTCTGGGACACATGTAGCTGTCCTACACCAGTCTTCCACTAAACTAGATTTTACACTAAAATTCTACTTGGTTAAACGAAAGCAACAATTCAGCAACTGCAGGAGAGAACCCAACACTGTCAAACCAGTAAGCACAACTCTGTTTCCTCGGGGGATTCTACATGATGTCGCCTTTTCACTCACTGTCTCTCAATACCAGAGAAATTGCCCAGGAACAGCTATGGAAGAGTGTCAGAACAATTAAAAAGATCTCTCACAATCATTTATCTTCCTGGCACGACAATCTTGATGCACCAAAACAGGATGGGCTATTGCAGTAATGTCCACACCCTCAGTCTCTACCTGAAGACATTATTTGGGAAGACCAGAACACTGACACTCACTGCATCTCAGCAGCACGTTTCATGATGAAAATGCCAACATCCAGGTGACCCCCGAGTCCAAATCGAGACCCCGAGACCTCAGGCATCTTGTGTTTACACTGCAAGAGCACCAAAAGGGAATGATGTGTTCCCTGCACTGGGACACAGCCATCTAGGAAAACATTCATGTGCAGAAAACTGTACAAGCCTGCAATTTATCAGAAGGTAAACACTGTCTTCTCAAACATCCTGAAAGAGATCTCTCCATTGTGGATGATGTTACAAGCCATGTTTAAAAAAAAAATAATAATAAAAAAAAAAAATCCTTTTTCAAATGCCTGCTTCTGACATGATACTGCACTCTGAGATCTGGAAGTTGAGAGACCCAGGCAAAAGTAGAACAACAGCCTCGAGTAATCAAGGAAAACCAAGCAACCAGCCCAGTTCTTGCTGTTTCTGTGCTTCTCTGAAGGCAAAAAGAGGTGATGGGGATCAAAGGGATGGGCAGGAATACAAAACTGCAGCAATGCAGAATAAACACCAATGAAAAAATGGTTTTTGAGAAATGATTTACAAGTGCCAGGAACTACCTACAGCAGAAGTTCTACAAAGCCAAAGATCTGAGAGGAACTGAAGAATTCTTACACAAACTTTAAACAAGCTGGAGAAAAAGCAGAGCAAATACGCAACGCGTGGGCATTACTAGGACAAGATGCTTCCAGTTTGGAGGCGTAAAACACAGGACGTGTTTATGCAGTAAATGCTTAAGAGCAGCAACCCACTAAGCTTCAGTAAGGCAAGCAAAAGGTTTTATGGGCCTGTAACCAAAATCATCAACTATTATTCATTTTTTGACAGTTAAACCATCAGGTTTATATGCTGCAGACAGTTAAGACATGTAGAAAACTTGTTTGTTATTTTAATTTTGTGACAAACAAGTCAACTGCACACATCCTTTCACTTTCTTTTTCATCTCTCTGCTTTCAGATAAGAATGAAAACTAGCAGGAACTGGATACGTTACTGTCCTCCTCTTTTTCACTCTGTATTTATTGACACTCTTCAACCTCAACCTCTAACTTTCTCTTTTTGGGATGATTAGTGACCAATTTAGAAAGCAGAGAATGAAACTTTAAGCTTCCACATCATACACTGAAGCACCACACATGCAACCAACACAAATAACCTACTAGGGACTTCTGTAGCGGCCTCTGAATCTGCGATCTCTGCTTCTGGACCGGCTGCGCCTGCGTTCTTTGCTCCTGCTCCGTTTCCTTTCTCGGCTTCTGCTCTTTTTCCTTTCCCGATCCCGGCTCCGTTTGCGTTCCTTACTCCTGCTCCTCTTCCTGTCATGGCTTCGACTGCGGCTCTTGCTCTTTTTTCTCCTGAGAAAGAAAAAGACAACTCTGGTTACGCACAGAGCTCAGTGTCACTATTTACCTCACACTCCACAGCTCCTCTAACACGATGTGACAGACACTAGCAGGAAAGAGTTTCTACCTGTTGGTATTTAGACAGGTTTCTTTTGTTAAATGTGTGGTTAAGCATGTCAGTAATTTTTTAAAACTTATGAGCAACAAAGTGCTCCAAAGCACTTTTTTATTTTTATTTTAAATTTTGAAATCACTAAAGAATGCTTCCAGGAAGAGTCATCAGCAATTTTTTAAAACTTATCATAAGCAACAAAGTGCTCCAAAGCACTTTTTTATTTTTATTTTAAATTTTGAAATCACTAAAGAATGCTTCCAGGAAGAGTAGAAGGACTGAAAAACATATTTCCTGCATTAGATCTAGTACATACCAAATGCAGGACTTCATGTGTCTTTCAAATATACTTTAAATACACCACCAAGATGGTAAGAATAAATTACATTTTTACAGCAAAGTAAACCAAAACATAACAAAAATAGAAAGGAAGATGCAAGTACGAGGGAAAGGAAGGGTGTTATCTCTCAATACTCCCTGCCATCAGTCTTAACACACTGCCTGAGCGTTTTGCTTCCTACTTGCTACTCCCACTCACAAGCCTCTTCCTTTTCTAAGTTCATAGCTCTTACAGGCTTGAGGCAAACTGCAATCTTCAGCATTTTAACCATCTACTTAGAAAATTTAAACTTTTACAATCTGTAAGTCAATTACATCTCGTACTTGAAAACCAGTGCCAGTGTTCCATTCTTGGCAGGCTGCTTTTGGGTTACTTGCAATTTTTGTTTTCCCTACCTCAGCCTCAGAACATAAAATTTACAGTTCTCATGGTTTTTAAAATATATATTGAGGTATACATAAAACACATGTTAAAGAGATGCTCAGGCAACTACTTAAGACAGCAATTTACCTCAAACTGACTTTTGGGAATAACCAACTTTACCGATAAACTTTTGAAATTCAAACCACCCTTTGCTGTTGAATTTTTCCTCTCCTCCTTTTCAGCCCCCTCATCACATACACCACCTTTTTTAAAGTGCTCACTCACACACTGAAAAACTTTATATGCCACACCCTGCTTTTTAAAAAAGCTAATCCCTGTTACTTTCTATGGCTATGTATAAACCGAGACTTCTCATTAGCTTCAACTGCTGAAGTAAAAGTCTCCCAGCTACCACATCTAACTGAGCCTAATCATCAATAGCAGCTCCAATCTCCACTAGAAAAACCCATTAAAACTATCTCAGTATTTATCTCTCCAGAGAAGCATTTTGTGATTTGGTTTTAGAAACTGGAATATTTCATTTTTAGTTTATTATTTATCTAAAATCCATCAGTTTCTCTAACATTTTTGTATGGACAGAAAAGCTGCTGCATTAAAACCCGATATTCAGAAGCTTCACAATCTCTGGTAAAATGACATTACCCAGAAAGTCAGAATGATCTGCATCAGCATCACTCAACCACACGTCCCCTGCTGTGATGCAGTTTGTGACAGGCACGCACAGCCTCTCTCCTAGGATCCAGCACTTCCCAAAATCTCCTCAAGTTAAAAACTCAAACACTATCACAACAGTTCTGAAAATGCCACGTGCAGCTCAATACACCGGCCAGCACCAGTAATTGCGGCTCAGCTTCAGTAAAGGCAGCAACCACCCAGTGCCCGGCTGCGAGCTGAACCCTCTTCATGTGCAAGATCCACGTTCTGCCTTCCAATCCCAATTAAACCAGACATACAGTACAGACATCTGGTGAAACTGCAGATTCTTAATCCTCCCAAGTTATAAACCAGAAATTCAGTATGATTTGACAATTACTGAAAGCTGCACACTGAATCTAATGTTATTTTCAGTTGTTGATGTTTGCTGTGGATTATGGTTTTCCTGACTGTTTGAATCTTCTACCAGCACTGTCCAACTGAAGTAGATAAAGAATTTGCTCGAGGTACTGACACTCCAAATAATGTAACTGATAAGCAAAGCAAGAGTTCTTGTAAAGCCTATACACACCTTGGCCTTCAGTGACACAGTAACTGTCACAAGCCACACAGAAAATGGTACAGTTCCCTCTTTTAAACATTTAGGGCAACAACAGCTGTATCACATCACAATTCCGGGACAAAGAGTTTCATACTATCAGAGAACTGCAGTGCAAGAATAACCAACCTTCTAGCAACTGCCAATTCAAAACCTGAAATGGGGAAATCCTACAGGAACAACATTTCTGAACAGACACGAGGGTACAATTAGGAAAGCAGAAAAGGAGGTGGAACTCCACACAAGAAGCAGCACTGCAGGACTAACAGTGAGAAACACCTTGGCTTTCTGCTATTTTACAATAATATAACTTTTTTCTAAACTCAGTTTAGTACACTTCTGAATCAGAAATACAAACGTGGAGCATACAGGTCCACCCTGAAAACAGGGCCATGGGCAGAAAGACAACAGATGTCATTGCTTCAGTCTTAGAGACGTTACAGCAGCTAAGAAAATGAACTGAAATACATCCCAGTATTCGCATAATTCTACCACAAGCCAAAGTCAGAACCACTTCTAACATTTAAAACACGCTGCTTTTCTTTCCAATCCCAGTTTATATTTTGAGACTACCCATGCAAACAAAAGCAGGGTTTTACATGCCACGTACACATATTCTAAAGCAGTAACAATTCAGAACTTAAAAATTCTTGGAGCAGCTGCTTTTAACGGGATTTTAGAGGGTTCGGTATTTAGCATGAGAATGATATTCACAGTATTGTTCAGAATGCAGATATAAGGCATAATCAATTTTAGACTACTAGATTCCAACATAAGACATGTTAGAATTGGACGTCTCATTTCCCAAATACATTTACATCTGGGAAGAAGTGTTCTTGGGATCCTGTCAGCATTTCATCTGTATGATTTCAGAAGATGACAACAGCATAGATGCTGACACCTTAAATTAGCTGTATATTAAAAAAACACACTGGTTACTGTTTACTCAACTATCAAATTAATAATTACTCTTCTGATATCAACTATCTCATCACCAAATGATGTGTGTAAGGTAAGGGATATATTTTACAGACTTTAAAACCTTCCATTTATTTGGGGTATTTAAGAAACTCTTATGTGAGACATTTTTCTTCAAATTTCTGGTTTGATTCCAGACCATTTGGGTCATCAGCAGGAGCTCAGATCCTGGGGATTACACTTCCTGAAGAAGGTGGGCTTGTACTCTGGTGCTTTAAAAAGGTTATAGTATAATTTTATAAAGTTTAGATTAGAAACAAGAAGTCTGACATTTTAGAATGGGGGCAGAACAGAGGGAGGGGATCCAACGCCCTAAGCCTTTTCCAGAAAGCACCAGTATCTTTAAATGCTTTGAACTGTTCCAAATCACAAAATTCTACACAAATACATTTTTAAAATGCAAAATCCATTGCACTGCTAAAGCAACAAAAAAAGAAATAGGCTGAGCCTCCCAACTCTGTATTTTTATCTCATGCTAACATTAAATGTTTCCACAACTGTGATGACACCAGTGACAAGGCCATAGCTACATTTGTAAAAAAGTAAGAAAAATACCATTGCCAATATCAAGGTTTTCCATTTTCTAAACACTACCAGTGTATTCTCACATTTACAAAAATCAGCAGCCTCCCCCTAGATGTAGGGAACTGAGGAAACACTTACTTCTTGCTGCGTTCTTCGTGGCCATTGGCACTGCTCAATTTGTTCTCATCCTAAGCAGGGTTGATAGAAGAACATCGTGAGGACGAAGCGGAAACATTTCAAGTGGTCAAAGGGTAATGGGAATAGGAATAAGAAAATACAAAACAAAAATTTTAATACTAAATTACTTGTTTACAGTTTAATATGGAAAGATTTAGAAAATTTAGGTAGGCATGTTTAACCACTTTGCTGCTTAAATTTAAGTCATACAATTACAAAATACAAGACTTACATCGTTTAAAAGTGTGTATTAAATTGTAGATACTTCCTTACATGGTTTAGAGAGCAAGTTATCCTGTAGAATTCAGCACTCAAGTGGTTAAATGTTATTTCTATAAAACGTAAGAGGAAGTTTCAGGTTTGTGTCTGTGTGCCCCTCTGACCAGCACCAAGGCTATATCTCTGCCTAAGCCCCAGCGGCTACGCTAGCAGCCAGCCACCAGCCACTATGGATCTCCTGTGACCGATGCCATTCCCGAGATCTTCGCTCATTTTCGTTGAAGGGTTGTAAGAGCTTGATGTCACCTCTGTCACACATCTCGCCCTGAAGCAAACAGGGATTCACACTGCTTTAGTAACGTCGGCTCCCAAGAAAGTCATCAATAATCCACCAGTCCAGCCTAAACATTCCCTATTTCCATACCTGTTTACATGGAAAATATCCATGTTAAACCAGGACACAAGAATTTTAACATAACAATTTACAAATTTCTCTTCAAGATTTTAACGTAACTGCTAAATATACCACTTAAAACTTACAAATGCTCATCCAAAATTCATGACATGGTTGTAATAACACTGCAGAATAGACTAACAATAGCTGCTATAAAATGTCTATACTTGCTTTACAGTTTAATCACATCAGTTACATCAAAAGTACAATTTCTAAGTGACTTAAACTTAATATACATTTCTTGCAAAACCAGTGCTACAGCATGCATGATGTTAACACTTCACCATCATTTGGTGAAAACCAAAAAAAGACAGTATTCATTTGCTGCTGGTTTAGGTAAAAGACATCACTATGCTAATTGATCAAAATTTTGCATAAAAATTCACATTTCCTAATTAAACAACTAGGACAGAAGAATACAAGAGCTGATTTTAGAATGACACCGCAGACTGTGATACTGTCTTTTACTCGCTAAGAACATTCTATTCAGGGATCCAAGAATTTCTGTGAATTCATTCACTCAGCAATTAATTTCCATCAGCCCTGTTAAAAGATTAACTGCCACCAGTCTTCTGCGTTAAACGCAAGTCTCACTCTTCTTGCACTGAGCAGACTGTTCAAATATTTACTTGCCATGGGACTGGTGAAAAGGTTATTCTTGGAACCCTGCTGTTTTCCCAAACCACTGCATCACCTTGTTGCTACACCAAACTGGACCTGGCAATTTTAGGAGAGGTTTTTAGTTTCTTGGGGGTTTTTTGTTTGTTTGTTTTGGGTGGGTTGTTTGTTTAAGGGGTTTTTTGTTTGTTTGTTTTGATTGGTTTTGGGTGGTTTTTGTTTTGTTTTGTTTTTTTTTAAACCTAGGGGACCACGGTACAGCGATACGTCACTCAATTACTACCTTATGATTGACAGTTCACACTGGAATCAAAGGTGAATTCATGGGAGTAGAGGTGAGATATCGTTAGGCAAGTCTACAAAGAGAGATAGATGGGCATTTATTCATCACGCTGAAGTGAAACTACTGCACAATATAATTACATTAACAGTATATATTTACTTGTAAGTTACATGTAATGCATCTCCAGTAAGATAAATCATGAGGGCTCCAGGGATGTTAGTTTACAGTTCAGCAGTAGTTTCAAGAATAATGCTAAATTAAGGTAAACAGGACCTCACTGGCACATTTTCCTCACCTTCTTGTAAGGAGCTTCAAGCATTGCTTCAATATCAATATCATCGGCCATTTTTCAGGATACCTGAAAGAAGAAGCAAAATCCACCTGAGACAGAGAACACCCTTGTGCTTTATTTTCCAAAGGCTTTTGCTTAAGAGGCCATCCCTGCCATTGGCTGAAATTCCCAGAGCAGGGTCTCAGAAGACATTTCCAACAGGAACTGGAATGAAGCTTTTCCCAGGGAGAGGATAAAGAATGTGACACAAAGCAATTATAGCTGCGAACAACAAAACGCCACTGAACACAATTAGCAGTGGAAACCCCAGAGGTTTCCACAGATTTATTCCAAACAAAGAGCAGAGATGATTTATGACACAGAACCACAGGTCTGGTGGCCATCTTGAGAAGTACTCGAGCTTGACCAAAGGGCTCAGGAGAGAACACAGACCAAACATTCAGGCAGAGGTTCCCAGCGTTTGCTGCCTTCACATTTACTCATCAGAAGACTTAAAGCAATGTTCTCATCCTTTAAGGAATGCAGCCTCTTGCATAATGAGGGCCACAGGAGAAACAATGATGATCCAGGCACTAAGAGCTACTCAAGCTGCAGAAGATCCATCCAGTCCAGAACTTCATGTTTCAGACAAAAAAGATCCACCATGCCATGTTAACACTAGTCACCACTAACTTCTTTTTTTAATTGTTCCTGTTATTTTTCAACTCCAATCCCCTAATATAATTTTGTGCTTATTATACTCGGAATCCCTTTGTCATTTGATTTCCTTTCCCTATGTAGGTCCACCTCTCAAGAACCTCTCAAGTCTCTCTGCATTAGAGACTCAACTTCCTCAAATCTCAACAGAACAGTTTCTCTCTTTTTTTCTTTCTTAAGCTCAGAAGTGGCCAGGCCTCTCAATCCCAGTCAGACAGCCCAAGAGGGAAGATTTTCCTGCATGTGCACCACAAAATGAAGTGCTACCACATGGACTTCCCACCACAAAGGTTCATTCTTGCACCTTGGTTCCAGGCACTGCTGCAGAACTGTGCTGTCCAGAGCCTTGGCTGGCATCATGAAATCACCACAACATTTCCAGGTGCTTTAAGCTGTCTACCCATAACTGAGAATATTTTACCAGAGCTGCACCACCCACATCCGACCATCGCCCACGGATACAATCAAGGATCAAACATAATCCTTTAGCATTATCAGAGCACTGGAAGTTCACACTCAATTACCCAACGGAGGCACACTAACCTCATTTCCAAGTCACTAACTCTTGGGCTACAGTGCTGCTATCACTGACAAATATGATCACTCTTAATTTATGTGTAATGGCTCAATTCTACTTTTTACTGGAGTATTCACAGTCAGCTTTCCAAGTCATCTCCACACACGTATATGGTACAGTATTTGGTACAAACAGTACATCAGTGTGATTAAGGACCATGAAAAAGCACCAGGCCAAGCCCAGGATTCTACAAGAAAATTCCCACTGGGGACAACTTCCACCCCCAATGATACTTTGATGTGTGGAATTTAGTGAACATACCCAGCTACACCTGGGCTGGGATTCTTCATCCTGAAGAGGACTGGCCAAAGAGGGGGGATGGGGGCCACAACAGGGACCACCAAATCATGAGGGACATGGAAAAGTGACCAGGGAACGACTGCTACTGCAGCCACCCCAATAATACGAGTGAATGAACTACCATCCAGTGGGTTCAAAACAAAGGTGCTCATTCACAGAGCACTGAGCAGTGGAATTCACTGTGGATACTAACAAAGAAAAAACAAAACCACATGCAGTGTTCAAAAAACCCCAAACAAAAAAAAGCACAAAAGTTGACAGAAAAAGCTTTTCATTAAACAAAGCCATGCCTTGTGACCCCGAACCACAGCCAGCTGACAACTCTGAGCGCAGAGAGAGAAGTATCACTGCACCACTGCCCCCGGTTCTGTTCTTGCTTCGGCATTTACTGGTGGCCACTGTCACAGACAAGATCCTGAGTTACACGGACCTTTGGTCTCACCCGTGCGAGCTGTGCCCTTTGTACTCTGTGCAAAACACTTTCATTGCTATAACACCATGTTTTTATAAGAATACTTTCCAGTCACCTAACACAGACATACTATCGACTCTGTCTTTCATATAATACATATAATGATGCCATGTATAAACTTATTCTTCTTAAAAAAAAAAAAAAAATATCAGAGATAAGTGTCCTTATTAATTTCAAATTACTAGAAAATCATGACAGATTTTCAAGTGTCTTTCACTAAACACTGAAGAAGCTCAAAGTCATTTTCATAAAAGACTTTCAGCTTGCTCAAAAAAGCTGCATATGCCTCACATCTCTGGAGAGAAAAAACAAAAACAAACAAAAAACCCAACACCAACAAGGAAACACCTGAAACAAAAACAAACAAGGAACGAACTACACTTGATACTTTGTGGGTCTACAGAAAACCTAAAGGGAAATGAAATCTACTGCTACTGACCTCGCCAGCATTTCCAAGGCAGATTCCATCTCTTTTTGCTGTGTTAATCATTGTTTACAAACGTCCTCTCTTCAAAATTATTTGTTTTGGAAATTCCAAAAAGTTACAATTCTGCTCTTGCTTTGGAAAGAGTCTCCCGGAAAAGTGTCAGGAAAGAAGAGAGAGGCCGTGGCCGCCCCGGGAGGGCAGCGGAGCTCCCAGCAGCGCTCAGCGGGCTCCCACCCGCATCCTCCACGCACTCCCCACGCGATCGGAACCGAACGAGTCCCGGTTCTCAAACACGCGGCTGCGCTACAACCCGCCCGCCTCGTTCTGCCAGGACCCCGCGCCGTTCCGAGCACCGCACCCTCCAGAGCCCCTCGGTCCCTGCGCGCACCGGCGGCCGAGCCCCGA